TTACTAACTTCTTTACTAACTTCTTTACTAACTTCTTTACTAACTTCTTTACTAACTTCTTTACTAACTTCTTTACTAACTTCTTTACTGAACTAATTCAAAAAACACAAATTCATAAATTCATTTAATTAGCGATATGTGTTTTATTGTACTTGTTCATGTTGGTTGATAAGTCCAATATAAGCAACGCAATTGTGGCAGGTTTCACAGATAAATACTTAAACGCCTCTTCAATTGGATTTAATATTGCTATATCCGCTCATCTTTTTGGTTATGTTTTCTTCGAAATTCCTTCAAGTCTTGTAGCAAAAGTTTTTGGATTTAATGTTTGGATTCCGATCTTAATGGTGCTCTGGGGTGGTATATCTATGACACAAGCTGCTGTTTCTTCCGCACTACAATTAGGCATTGTTAGATTCTTTTTAGGTTAGCTTGACTATTTTATATATTTATAATTATTAATTTATAAAGTATAAATAATAATATTAAAGTTTATTATGAATTTAAATAATTATTACAGGTGCCGCTGAAGCTGGGTTTTCTCCTGCAGTTATAGATTATATATGTTTATTTTATTCTAGAAAAGAGATAACCTTTAGATATGGCGTCTTTATGGCTTTATCTATATTGACTGGTGCATTTACTGGTCTTCTGGTAAGTTTTTATATTCTAATTCGTTTTTTTCTGAATTCTTTGAAAATACCTTTTTTTTTATTGGCTGCTTCGATTCAATAACTATATAGTATTTTTTTTTTTTATGAATTTGAATTTTTATAGTAACTAACATAATAATAATATTTATTTAAATTTAGGCATATGGAATACTTCAAATACGAACGTCTTCATTAAAAAGTTTTCAAATAATGTTTTTACTCGAAGGTGTTCCAACATTTATTCTTGCTGCAATTGTTGCTGTTTTCTTGACTAGTGGTCCTGGTAATTCTCGTTTCCTCACACCTAATGAACGTGAATTCACTGTTGAACGTCTTAGACCAGAAGGTGGTGTTGACGAAAAAGATGTTAGCGTTATGAAACATCAAGCTAAAAGCGCGTTTTTGGATCCTAAAGTTTATGTTTACGTATTAGCTGCAACTGCTGGTTCAATTCCAAATAACGTCCTTAATTATTTCCTACCAACTTTAGTGAAACAACTTGGTTATAGTGCTGTAGATGCTCAATTAATGAGTGTACCCCCATTTGTAGTAGCAACTATTGTAATGCTTATTTTTACTTGGTTGGCTGATAAATACGAAGTTAGAGCTTTGCCTTTGTTGATTTCTGATATATTAACTATCATAGGATCTGCTGGAATGTTAGCAACATCTGCTTCTGATCCGAGTTTATATAAATTACGTTACTTTTTTATAATACTTGTAGCATGTGGTGTATATACTGCTCAAACGGTAATTTATAGTTGGATTACTGGTAATGTTGGTTAGTATTATTTTTAATTTTAATTTTTCTATACTACTGTATAAAGAAAATCTTGTTAAAATTTTTTTTCTAATATTATTACTGTATATTTTTTTCAAATTCCAAAAAAATTTAGTCGGTCAGTATAAACGTAATATAACAATTGCTGCATCCTTTACTATCGGTAATATTGGTGGTGTCATCGGAATTCTACTTTTCCCATTAAACCTTGCACCTTCATTTACAACTGGAACTACCGCATGCTTGGCCATGATGATCCTTCAATTTGTTGTAGCAATTTCAATGAAATTTTATTTGGAATATGAGAACAAGAGGCGTGATTTAGCAATATTATCCAAAAATAATTTTCAATTAAGTACAAGTGAATTAAAAAATACAAAGCTGATTAGAGAAAAAGTTGAAAGATTGATAGAAAACGAACCAAAATTCGATGAAATTTTGTGTGATTCACATCCTAATTGGAGATACATGGTTTAAAAATCAAAAAAAAAACCTTTATAACTGTAGTAATTTTTTATTTTATTTTTTAAAAATTCATAGACTTTATTCAATCCTTTGATAATTATTTTTATTGCTACTATATTTGATTTTTATTAAGTTTACGATTTATTCGTTTAATATTATTACTACATTATAACAACTTTCTTTTTAGTATATTGAATATCCAATATACAGTCTTTAATACTCTGCTACAATATTCAATCTTCATCTTCAATATTCAATCTTATTCAATCTTTAATAATAAATCTTCAATCAAGCTATTTTTTTTTTTTTTTTACCGTACATACGTACTAAAATTTCGGGACTATGAAATTTATGTAGTGGCATTTTAAAAATACTGTATGATGTTACATTTTAAGATCGATATTTAAACCGTAAATCTTTTTCCATATTTGACCTTTTATATAATACTGCGGTAATGAAGTTTGGTTTTGAATTTTTATGTTACACTTCTTATACGGCAAATTATTATTTCTTAAAAAGGTAACTTGTTTTTAAATGCGAAACACATTATTAACGTTAAATGAACAAGGCCAAAACCACTGTTGAGAAAGCAGGTTTGTTAAATGCACGTAGCCAAACCACCATATGAGGAAGCAGGTTTAAAGTTTTTTTATAATTATGAATACAAGTTTTCTTATTCTAGTTAAGAACTATCTGATAGCCAAGGTCCTTTTATAACGCTATCACACAAATTATTGTGATCAGAAAATTCTACATATATGGTATTTAATAAAATATGACATTGGTAATATCATGGGTAGTTGGGTTAACGGAAAATTAAATTTCCGTTCATATACATAGTGCCCAAAGTATACTTGATTATACTCTGTGACATTGATATAGTGGCCAGGGGATATAATAGAATATAAATAAATAACCAAATAAAATTATAAAAATGACAGAATCTTATAGTAGTAGGTTTAATCAATACAACAAACACGTGGTGCTTATTCTGGATGCTTTACATTGCAAAAAAAAAAAAAATAGGCGCCAATTAAAAACACAAAACCATACATATTAAGTAAGCATATACCCAATTTTATGAACTTACTTGAACAGATCAAAATTTTAAAGTATTAAAAAATTCTAAAATATAATTGTTAATAATAGATTTAATAGATATGCATTAACATAATTTGTTATTATTATTGTTAAAACAAAATAATAGATAGTAATGATATTAAACTTAATAAAATAGGTTATAAATTACTTTAAAATTTTTGCAAAAAAAAACTATATTACTAGCAAAATAGATTAAAAGGTTAGTATCTACCTGCCGTGAATAAGCATGCAATTATTGGTCAGATTTTTGGTACGTACTGTTCGAATTAACTCGTAGTACCGTTACCAAAATTATGCAGATCAGATCACTAAATTATGAGAAATTTTGAGCGAGCAAAAGGGTGCTTATTTACGACAGAATACGGTATATAATTTTTATCAATTATACTATAGATTATTCTATTAACAAAAAATAATATTTTATGCTAAGTAATAATTTTATATAATTTTTTTTTTTACAAAATAATTTAAAAATAACAAATTATAGTCTTTTTATTATACAATTATTAGACTTTAATAAATTATTGCTATATACAAAAAATAAAGTTATACTGTATACTGATTTAATGCCTATAGAGTGGTAATAGTTTTGGTTAAGATGGATAAACATTGCATATAACACATCACGTAGAGTTTCTCCAGACAAAAGAAAATTTGATAATAATAAAAGAAAACTAAGATTTCATAATTACTCGTATAATACTGTATTAGACGATTAAATTTCTTTTACAAAAATTACTGGTAAACCATTATGGAAAGATTTGAGACAACTTTGTTTTCATACTTACTAAAATTAATAATTTGATATTAAAAATTCAATATTAATAATTAAAAATCCGCATAACTACTGAGAATTTGGCAATCAGATTACCAAAAAATAAACACCATCAGCACAACATTACTTTAGGATAGGTTCTATATTAGCTTCATCGCATATTATTTCTAATGGTAAAATTGAGGCAATGCCCTCGTTACCACAGTGAGAATACCATTTATATTAACCGAGTACAAATTATTAGAATAAAAGTATACAGAACTTCCACTATCTTCAAAATAATCCTAGGTGTCGTACAAAAAATGCACGGCAAAAAAAGAATTAGGTCAAAATTACACAAATTCTATTAATTAAACTGCATTCACCTATTAAGTAAAAATGTTCTTGAGCCAATTTTATCATAAAACAGATCTATTTTTAAAAAAATTCCTTTTCTGTAACTAAAAAATTAAAAAAATCAAACTCCGGCCAAAATTAAGAATTTTGAAGATCATCGGCCTAAATTACTTTAATGCAGGACAAATTTGACAATTGTATGAATAGATACTCATGTATAAGTAATTTTTCATATTGATTAGAATTAGTATTCCTTATCATCATCATCAGTATTGGTTTAGTAAGTATACCTGTAAAAGCTAATTTTGATATACAGTAATCATAATTTTTTACACTATGGTTAACCATTCGTTTATCGGTAGGTATTAAACACCACGAAAAATGAAAAAAAATTTATATTAAAAAATTCATTTTTATAACAATTACCTATGGTCACAACGTAAGTAATATTTAAATTATTTTCGTCCTGTGAAAAAAAAACCTGCAGAACTTACAGTAAAAGGCATTCCGTATAAATCTTTTAATGAGTTCACGTTTTATAATGGCCTGGCGTTTCGTAGTAGGTGGATCAGGTATAATGTTGTTAGCGAAATCTATTTCCAAAATGCCAAAAGACGAAAATCGAAATCGTCAAAACTCTGGCGAAATTTTATCACACAAAAAGTTTAGCTTCGTGTTCTCCAATTCATGCGAACTTTAAAATAAATAACTATAACAATTAACCTTTTTCTCTGTAACATAAATAGAAGCACAAACCTAAAAACAAGCCGTGTTGTTGAGCTTTTAAAATATATATGTTGTGCCTCAGATAATATTTGAGGCACCACAGATGTCAATCGTCAGATGAGGTGCGTAACTCGTTAATCGGCTACCTTAGTTGTTTTATGAGGTGAACAGTGGCCGATAAGATTTTTTTTTCTTTTTTGAAAACACATGTAGCCCGAAAAAAAAATCATTGGAACGATGTAAACTCATTACGTTAAAAAAACATTTTATCAAATAAAATATAATAATTTTGATAACTTTCGAGCCTTGTGCTAGGATTGAATAAGCATTAATCAACCCACTTTAACAATCTACTAGTCATAAATCTGATATTGATAGTAAAATGAAAATAAAATTTTCTTTTGCAACTTCATATTATAATCTTTGGTTGACAAGGTCAAATTAAATTCATAAAAACGCCCAATGCTTTTGATGTTTCAAATTATATTATATATATTATGCAGATAAAAACATTCTTTTCTTTAGTTATTTTATTAAACCCTTGTATCAGTGTTCTTTTAATGTCGAAAATAAAAATTAATTGCAGTTTCCTCATAAGTTATACACCTCATCTCATCTGCCTCAGTTATCAACTTATAACTCTGGTCAGCAAAAACGATACTCGGTCCCGTGTTTTCCAAGAAAAATATACAAATAAAAACTCAGAATATCATACATAAAGTTAAGCCAAGACTTTCACTGCGAATTCTTTGATATTAATACCTCATAATCTACAGAACTCTGAAAATTGCTCGGAAGTCACGGGACCGAGGATCGTTTTTGCCACCACTGATAGTTCAGCCAGATTTGAAATAGAATGCTCTGGGTTTGGCCAGAGGATCTGCAATATGACCAGAGCTATAATTAATTGTTCTACTACGTATTTAAATTACAGTCGAGTAAGCATTGTTGTCTGTTATTTACAACTATTTTCAAAAGGACGTGGAGCTATTTTTTACGATATGAGTGCCGTCAAAGGAAAACCTACAATCTGGCTTTCAAGTATATTTTGTGTATAGTTGGTTATCTGTGTGTCGTCTATGGTAAATCTATGTCCGATGATAGATTTACCATAGACGGCACACAGATAACCAACTGTACACAAAATATACTTGAAAGCCAGATTGTAGGTTTTCCTTTGACGACACTTATATATATAAATATCATTTGACCAACTGATCAATATTTAACCTTTTGACCGGGCTGGTCAATTGGTCATCAAGCTTGACCATTGGCCGTTAAGGTTTGATGCCCTATAAGAAAAATGGATCGGATCAGTACGGGTTTGGTTTCGGATAGGTACGGGCCTTTGTGGCACGGGTCAAGATCCGGATTTGTACGGTATGGTACGAGTAGGTACAGATTCGGTGGTCCGTGTGGGACCGTATGTCTGTGCCAATTGGACCGTAAATGGCACGGGTTTTGCAGCAGTTTACTAGTCGAATCGGCACGGGATTTGGCACGGGTAATGATACGTAAATTCACGTGCCATCGCGATAACAAATAACAAACATGTGGATTAATGATTAAAACATAAAATTTACATGTTAAGATACTCAGAGCAGCTTTATCAGTGAAATTATGAGATATTGCGCTTTTTTTAAAAAAAATTTCATTTATTGATCTTTCGATCTCCGCGAAACGAGCCAACACGTATCACGAGCTAACACAAGCGCAACTTAAAATACGTGTCATCTGAACGTGTTGTTCCGTATGACTTGATATAACGTACCACCCCTTGCCGTAATGTCCGTGCCATTTTTACCGTGCCACTCCGTAAAACGTGCCTGTGCCACACAATCCGTGCCACTTCGTACATTCCCGAAACCAACCCATACCACAACATGTACCACTTTTCTTATAGGGATGATATTGTAGTTAATTTCTGTAAGAAGTAATTTAGATTAGAGAATCAGTTAAAATTTAAGTAATAAATGGTTACAATTATGTTATGATGCAGATTCAAGTCTCACGTATATAAATCAAAAAAAAAATGATGAAAAAAAACTCTGTAAAGTTACAAACTAAAAACATTGAAATATTTTTATTACAAGTTAAAATAATATCAATAATTTACATAAATTTGTATTGATTATTTATTTTATTCCAGAGAGAAATAAACTAGTGCCAAATGTTAGCATTTAATTCGTGTTGAAATGTTGCATCAAATTGTGTAATTGGCATAATATCAATTCTTAAATATTTGGGTAAAAAATTTAGATACTGATTTGTGTATATTTCAATAGGTTAACCCATTGATTTTCAAATAATATCAGATATAATTCTTTTTCATATCTTTCTATATGTTCTGTAGTGATTTTATCTTCAGAGGAATAACTAGTTTCGATTGCTTCTTTTATAATCCTGATCTTTTCCAAATATTCTTTTTTTGTCCTTTCAAGTCCTTCAAGAATTTCATTATTATAATTAGCAGGATCGGCACTTTTCTTAATTTTTTCTTCATGTATGAAATGTTCTAGGTATTCAGCATAAGAATCATTAAATATGACTATCGCATTTTGACTTAGAAATTTCGCAAAGCAGATGTTAATTTCAGTTATCTTCTTTTGTTCACTTTCTAATTGCTTAAGCCTTTGTTTGCAACCTTTTATGGAGCTTTCCCTTATTTTTTGAAATGACACTTTATTATTAATCTGTTTTTCGATACTCTTATCAATTACATTTTCAGTTTTGTAATCATATTCATGAGTCATAATCATATGTTTGGTATAATGGCAACTGCATTTACGACAAGTTCCATCATTTTGAACAGCAAGATAACGCAATAAGGCCACATTGACAAATACTTCGACTTCGACCCCATCCAAATAACAATGCGGTTGGCAATGAGCTTTGTAGTTAACTTTTCCATTTCCTACTTCATAATTACAGCCGGTACATACGATTCTGGGATGTCCTGTTGTTTTGGTTCAAGAAATTGTCGTGGGATATACAACCTTTTTTTAAGTTCCTGAATAAATTCAATGCAATTATCAATCACGTTTTGATGGTCTTCAACCATTTTTACATTTGTTTGAATATTCTGTTGCATGACTGCAAGAGGTCTAGCAAGATTTAATACTACATTTCTAGCGTCATTGAGTGTTAAAGTATCTTGTACTTTATGAGGGTTACGAAAGCCTAGGTGTTGAAGGAGTCTTACAGATTCAGCAACAGATCTTTTCCAACTTTCTGCAAAATTTTCTCGATCCATATCATCAAAATGCACTTTGTTTTTGGATGCAGCTAGAAACCGAAATGATTCATTGTCAAAACAGTACATAGTCTCTTTGTTTGTTTTTATTTCAACACTAGATCTTTGTTTAAGTATTTTGAGTTGTTCTTTAAGTGGTTGTATTGTTTGACCTGGACGATAAAGTGTTCCTCTGCAATCAGCAAAACAGAAAACGATATTGTCTTTTGCACTCTTATGTAAATGAGATAATAATTCCTGTATACAAAATTTAAATAATACTGTCAATCTCGGAATATTTGGCTTGAGAAGAATGCATATCCCATTAAGATAATCATAATTTCTAATAAATTTAAGAATATTTTCTAAGTTTTCCTTGTCTTTATCAATTCCCCTGGTATCTCCTATTCCCGGACTATCGATAAATCTTACAATCGTATTCGAATCATAATTGAAGTTATATTCTCTACATGATTGAGTGGCTGACATTCCAACATTTTCAAAGTTTTCATTTGAATCATCTCCAAGTTCTATAGTTGTTTCTTCGTAATCTTCATTAGTTATCACGAATTTTGATGGGATTAGTAATTCCATCTCCCCATATAATGCTTCATCTAGAGTTTTAAATTTAAGATAATTACGGAGTGCGTTTATAAACGTAGATTTTCCTACACCTGTTTCTCCAAGTAATAATATATTTATTTCTTTTTGTGTGGATGTTGTCATTATTGAAATTTTTTTAAAAAAACTAGAATAACAATTTACGCGAAAAATTCTCTCTGATATGGGATTAGGGTTCAATACGAAGTTTTTATTATAAATGAATCAGAACGAAATATACTTTTATAATAGAGTTTGGAACCAGATTTAATGATGCGAATTTATCACACGTTTTTGATGGATTGATCAATAATTGTTACTTATTGTAATAAATTCGAATAATTGAGATAAATTTGCATTAATAAATTCAGCTAAACTCTATAATACGGAAGAAACGTTCCGTAGCTAGTTTGAAAATAACAAAGCTTATGCACATTCATGTACGTTAATTTGAAAAATGCAAGATTTTCCAGTCAAGAACTTATATAAAATTTAAAAATATATCCATATATTCAGCTGAAAATATAAATTATGAATTTAAAATTAAGAATGTAGTCTGTTAAACTGGAAAACTAAATAGGATCATTCTGAATTAACTAATTTTGAAAATAAGTGAGAAATCTATTTTGTTTTGAATTCCGAAATTGAAAAGCATTTTTTTTGACAATATATTATTATCAAATAGGGCTTTGTAATTTACTGCTATAGCGATGTATCGCTATCCCCAGGTTTATGCCAAAATTCTGAAAGTAAAATCCCGAAACCGAAACTTAATTGAGACGTCATGTAATGTCGGAGTTCTAATATCCAAGCACCGCTTGTGATTGATTATAATATATTAGGCTAATTAGCCAGTTTATCATTTGTTCGCTGGAGTAAGAGAATTTCTATTTATTTCACAGCGAGCTTTCAGCTATATAGAAAAATTTAATGTACAGTATGACCGGTAAACCATGTTGCATAAACATCGATATATACAGTACGTACGTACATAGTAATAATAGCACGCCTTACTAACCTTTTAAAACATTAGTCAAAATTTGGACGTTCAACAGGCTTGCTTACTAAAACAAGTTAACCGTTAATAAGTATGAAAAAATAATACTTCAAATCCAAAATTTTTATTGGATAATATTCTTACCTGCAACTACTAATTTGCCATTTATTGGTTTAGGAAGATCTTGATATTTCAAAAGTCGACTTATGTAAATAGCCTGTGGATGTGTCTGGTAATTAATCCTTGCTGATTTGACTTGATTATACGTTGAGGTGTTTTTGCCTGAGTCGTTAATTTCTTTAACTTGTTTATATAATTCAGATTTCTCTTCTTTCAAATCTTTAAAAAATTGGTTTAGCATACTAGTTAAGTTGTTAGCAGTTGGTCTATTATGAGGTTCAGCATCCAAACATTTATTCATTAAATCTAAAAGTAGTTGAGGAACTTTACATTTGATCTCAGGTCTCTGACCACTACAAATTTTTATTGCTAATTTGTGATCATGTGGAGTATCATGATATGGAGGATGTCCAGTAAAAACTTCTGACATAATTATTCCGAAAGAATAAATATCTGATTTTTGAGTGTATTCCTTTCCGTTTGAATACAATACTTCTGGAGCGATATAAGGAAGCACACCAAAAAGTTCTTTAGAATTTGAGACTTGCGACACCGGCCGGCTTACATAAGCCGAAATCAGTAATATAAGAATTGAATATATCTTGATTAACTATATTTCCGGAATGAAAATCTTTATGCACTAATTTGGCTTCATGAATTGCACAAAGCCCCTTAGCTATATAATATAAGTTAATTCATTATATTTACTATATATCTAAGAATTTTCGGAGACTTCCTTGCTTTGCATACTGTATAACCATTATATAATTATCATTTGCTGGATTCTTAGTTATTCCATAAATCGTAATTGCCGAACTGCTGCCATGTTTATGTTGATTTGCAACCTAAAATATTTATTAGGATAAATAACAATTATACTTTATATGATAATAAATTATATAAAAGCTTACTTCTTTTAAAAATTCTTGTTTTAAATCTTTTGAATTATCTAGGCTTTTTAAACAAACTTTTATTTTCGCATGTCTCCACCATTCATTTTCAACATCATCGAATCCATAAATATATCCGTCAGTCCATACTGCCTTAAAACAGTCCCAAAGCCACCTTTAGCAAGATACTTTATATTTGTAAATTGATTAAAAGGAATCCATTCAATGATGTCACTAAATTTCTTTGCATTAAGTTGCGTTTGTTGAATAAAATTATCGATATCTGGATTTCCGCTGGTCCAATTACAAAACTCGTTTTTAAATCTTGAACATTATGAAAAATATACTTTTAATAACAATGATATCAAGAATCACACTTTAAATTAATATAAATACCGTCTGTCATGAATTGACAGATAACAAATTAGAAGTTCGTTTTCCTTTAGAATTGTGACTTTTAACTTATTTTGAAAAATATTCTTATAATGTTAACTTACTGGCTGTTTTGTGTTTTTTTTTTGTGTAGCAGATACAGATATTGAGATGTAGTTATTAAATTGAATTATTGTACATGATTTTTAGCTTGGTTTGAAAATATCCTTATAATGTTAACTTACTGGCTGTTATGAGGTTTTTGTGTAACAGATATTAGGTTTGAATTATCGTACGTGATTTTTAACTTGATTTGAAAAATATTCTTATAATGTTAACTTACCCGCTGTTATGTGGAGTTTTTTTTTTTTTGTGTAGCAGATACAGATATTGAGGTGTAGTTATTAGATTTGAATTATTGTACGTGATTTTTAACTTGTTTTGAAAATTATTAACTTACAGGCTACTATGTAGGTTATTAATTTTTTTGTGTAATAGATACAGATATTGAGGTTAAATTATTAAATCTAAGTAATTTTAAGATACTGTTTTTTATTACACTTACGGTTCTTTAACTAATTTACGGGTCCCCACTGCCCATGCATCATGCGGCTTAATTTCCAATAATTTCTTCAAATCAGCAAACGAGTCTTCATATCTTTTCATCATAAAATAAATTTCTCCTCGATATCTTAATGCTATGATATTATTTAGTTCAATTTCTAGTAGTTTAGTAAAATCTTCAAGTGCTTCCTCATATTTGCCTATAATAAAATAGATTTTTCCTCTATGGCTTAAGTCAATTGTATAATTTTTATTTTTTTCCAATGATTTTGTTAATTGATTTATTAAATCAAGAAGAGTTTCTTCATATTCGCCCTTAATAAAATAAATTTTTTCTTGATATTCAACTGCGAATGCATTGTTTGATTTGTTGCTAATATCTTTATTGGTCATTACTATTAATTAAAATAACGAGACAAACAATAAATGATCTAAACCCGATTATCGTTATTGCTACGAATCATTAAAAAATTACCCGAATATTCAAAGTCTCTATCTCCAAAATTTACTTCTACAAATCCTCCTGGTGATCTAAATCCGACACAAGGATATAGGTACCTTCCAAATCATCAGGCAGATTGCAAGCAATTCCTTGAAATAAGGCATAAAACATCGATTCTTACCAAAGCTTTGGAAATTATAAAACTTATTGTTAAAGTAATATTTACCTAGATTTACACCGTTTTTAGTATAAAATATTAGCTTGTTTCTGAAATTTAAATAGCATCCAATAGTATCACCAGCAGTATATGATGGTCCATATGGCTCGCTACTTCCGGAACAAAATGAATATCCATCATCACCATGGTAACCCCAAGAGTTATTTTCTTGTCCTAAGTATATTATAACAAAAGAATTGATCTATTGCTCTGAATAAAAAAAGAATACTAATTCCTATTACCAGGCATTGTCATGATATCTATATTTTCTATTTTTTTATCTTGATCGGTTGTCTTTGTGCAAAATCCGATTCCAATCATTCTTTTAAGAGATTGAATTATATATTAAAATAAATTACGAATAACAATTCCAATACAATTAATTTCTCCAAGTGCATCTCGATCAGATTGTAATTATAAAAAATGCAATAAATTATTGTGCTTAGAGAAATAAAACATTCGTATTTAAAGAGATAAGACATAGCTGCACTTAGAGTTGACTGTATGTCATATTACCCGTTTTTTCCACTATCGATAACTTTAACTTCAAAATAAAAAAATTTGCTCTGTGAAGGAATCGGATTATTCGCTCGAATTATAGCCACAACTTTGCAATAATCTGGTCCTTTTATTTCAAAAAATTAATAAGCTATGTAACCTTTAATGCATTCAAAAAATATCCAAACACAAAATATTTAAGTGAAACTTCTTGTTAAAATATAAATTTATTTCGCTCTCGATACAACGTAGTACCTCGGGCTCATAGTGAGGAATTTTAAAATCCGCTTTATCATGAGTTTTATTAGTAATCTATTATATCAAGTAGTATTTATTATGATGTGAATCTGAATCTTGATACATTACATAAAGGTTTACTTAGTCTCCTCTATGCCAAGAGTCCGTTATATCGACGTGTAATTTGAAAAATAAATTTAAAACTTTTGAGACCATCTCAGACTTTAAGTCCATCTATGATTAAAAATGATGATTCAAGGTCCCATGCGGTCGGTAAAATAGCATCTTTATATAATTTTAATTCGTTCATCAGATTAAATGTCTTATAAAATTTTTCTTGATAAAAGAAATTTTGTGTATAACGATAACCTACGAACGTAGCTTTAAAGGCGTAATATTTCTAAATTTGTTGTTGGCGTACATAACCGATACTGATATAGTATTTTAAGTTTAAGCCCTTAAACTTAAACAACGCTCCTAAAATCGTGAAACGTTGATTTGCCAAATTCGCTTTGTTGTTTGATTATTTTACAAACTATTTTGAGCGAAAAAATGGCTAAACCAAGGGAGATATCTAAAGCAGTGTAGATTCTTATCGAATCAAATTTAGGGTTAGGGTCACTTTAACCTATAGTTTGGTTAGGGTTCAAGGTGTTCTTATACAAGCTCAACATTTCTAATTAATATACCAAAGGTAGCATAGCGGGCTTTAAATCTGATTGGATGATCGCCCGGAATGTTTCACAATATGGTTTACATATTAGCGTAACGT